GTGCAGCACTTCGTCGGCCATTACTTTGCAGAAGTACAGCAGCTCGCCGGCCATCCAATTGCGGAAGTGCAGCACCGTGCCGGCGATTGCATTACCGAAGTACAACAGTTCGCGTGGACGCAGCACCACTAAAACAAGAAAAATAGATGTCAAATAAAAAATGGACATACACAATTCGAACTCACGAATTGAGTGAATGCTAGTTCAATGAGGTATATAGTTAAAAGTAAGAGTTTCATCAAAAACTATTGAATTTTCAAAAACTATTGCATTACAAAAAGTATAAGTGAAATAATTAACACTCAAATAAACTATGAGCTGATGAAAAGCAACTATTTTGCTATTTTTTTCATATGAATTTAATTGTAAATACAGCCACAAGCTGATCAAATTAAAATCTTTTATATTTCGTTGTTGAAGTTAAATAAATTGTTAATTGTAACTAATTATAAATACAAAAAAATAGATATGTAAAAAAAAATGAACTCTTACGTTTTACTTTTCATTTTTATTTTCATTTATCTTCATCACATCAACATTCACCATCATAAATTGGCGCCATTTTTCTAAAAACTCCCATTGACACATCAGCTTGTATGTGACGTCATCGTATCCTCCCGTTGTTTTTACTTTTTTAACTTCAAACCACTTTGTAAACACGTTTTAAAACCTCAAAAATTGTCCACTATATCGTTCTTTTCTTTCTGCCTTTTGACTTCCTGTGATGCCCTCACACGTGGGAAAGGAGAGCCACAACTTTACGTAATGAGCACACGCATGCACGCGTTGTGATCATTATTACGATTACTTATCCTGCCTAAAAAAAAAAAATCACATGTGAAGAGAGACGATTGCCAAAAGGGCGTAATGTCAAACTTGTAACTGACCTAAGTCGAGGACCTCGGTGAGAGGAGCTTCCCCCACACACACGGGCATGCATGATTAAGCGGCGTGGCACATTCTCGGTGAAAACGTGCCACGTAGTTGACACCTGCAGGCTGAATGGGGCGACCCCGACCCCCCACACATGCGCACCCGCGTGACTTTCAGCACAGCTGCCGCTCCTCTGAGCCCCCTTTTACGCCCGATATGAGCGACGTGTACAGTAGACACGGCATTCCGTGCAGTCCAAATACAGTATCAGTGAAACTTCAATCCCAAATACCAACATTAAGCATTTCAGTCATTTCAAGCAAAATACGTGTACGTGAACGCGTGTCACTTCGAGGAACAACAATCATATAATAATCAGAAATCGTGTTGAACTTTTTGGCCTCTAGATTCTACATAGCCAGGCCTTAACAGAAATATAAAAAGCGCAGCGTAGGTTTACTTTTTATTGCAATGTATTTTTAGCCTCACAACTGTTAATATTTTTTAAATATCAGATACAAGAAAAAATGATTGGTAATTATATGTAACATAATGCATGTAATTTAATATATTGAACGAGCACTTATTTGTTCACTTTTAGCCCGTGGATCCTGCAGAATTTGACATAACCCCCCACCCCCACCCCGCCCCCATTTTTTTATTTAGTACGTGCACTCTGTAGAATCAGTATAAACTCATTAATATTTTTTTAAACTGCTTTTAATAATTTTTTCATTTATATTCTCTTATACAATTTGCCCTACGTGGTATACCCCATTTTATTTTTGTATTTTTTTTTTAGCAAATACAAAACTTGATCGGTGCTTCGTCAAACTTTTAGGAATGATTTATTTCGAGTATCTCTATAAAGCTTTTTAAAAAAATATTTGTACTTTGTAGGGGAACTTTTAGATGCGATTTATCAGAATTTATATGAATTCGAATAATTGTTCTGCCCTAAGAAAAAAAACAAGAAAATGTTATAAACTAAACATTTCTGCAAACGACAGGTCCATACGACACACACACGCGCGCGCGCGCGCACGCACATTGCTTCACAGCAACTTTAGACGGAGGCTCCTCTCTGGCCACAGTGGGAATCCTTCTGTCCTTTCTCCACATTGAGTGGCCTGAAAGTGGTTGACATACTAGCAAATGAAGCGTCTTCGAGTGGGGAGGAAAAGACAGGAAAAAAAAAGAACGAGGGATAAATTTAAGAAAGAGAAGAGTCTCAGCGACGCAGCGAAAACCATAAAGGCGTCAGTGCCCTCGATAAAAAGAGACAGCGTATGATCATATATCATCATAAGCCACGAGCATTACTGAGTATGAATCACTGCTTTATGTGCGCCGTTTCACACGTCACTTTGGAAGAAGAAGAAGAAATGGGGTGGCGGAGGGGGGGACACTTTCCATGTACGCATCGACTTTCGGGGTCATTTCGTTACCTCCCGCAGGAAAAAAAAACATTACACACGATGTACACGCGCTTTTTTTTTTTTTTAATATTGGCCATAAATTGGCAGACAAATGAAATGGTTGCCGCGGCGACCTAATGAAGACGCGCGTGACGTCCTCTTTTAATACGCTCTATTAACTATTATTACAGTGGTGTCAGGACCCCGCTGGCTGCCCGTTACCACGCGCCGATCACCTGCTCGGAGGTGGGCTCGCCGTGGGATGCAAATGGGGGGCCATCCATAACGTCGACTGCATGTATGCATGCATGCAAAATAAAATACATTAAAAAAAAAAAGTCTCTTTTGCCGGAGGAAATCCAGTGGAGGAGGAGGAGCCATTTTTTTTTACAACAGATTACCTCTAAAACAGGGAACAATGAGAGACGTCGGAACATCGATTTGTATTCTTTTTTTGGTCGTTCATTTGAAGTTAATTTCACTCTATTTACTTGTAAATGCTTTCCATAATGTAAAACGCGAATGCAAATGAATTGAGGTGACTTTTGACAAAGCGTGTCAAAAGGTTGTCATCTTGATAGTTCTCATTCACGTTCCCGCCCGCTGACGGTCCGATGGCAGCTTGATGACGTGTCAATCACGGAGAAACAAAAGCCGGCTAACAACACCGAGGCGATGCAGAAAGGAGGAGGGGAAGCAGATAGCAAGTGTCACTGTGACGGCGAAAACATATGGAAGTCTCCCCCCCCCCCAGCGGAGGGTCACTGCATCTTAATCACGTACCCCGCGCAATACACACACGTAATCACAGTCATCAGACTCATGTCCAATGTCGCAAGGGTCTACTTTTCACAGTGGAGGAAACGCGGTGCAGGTTTATTCAAAACCAAGTTGTTAGGTTTTGTCAATACAGTAATCCCTCGTTTATCGCGGGGGCGTGTTACGTTCCAAAAAAAAACAGTGATAAGTGAAATCCGTGAAGTAGTGAACTTTATTTTTTTACAGTTATTATACAATACTTAACTATATATACAATGAAATCAAAGATCAAAACCTGTTTTCAGGCCCAATTAGAAAAAAAAAAAACAAACGTTTTCAACAAATAATTATAATAGTTTTTGGAAATACTGCACTGTCGACACGCGGCGCCACCGACGCGTTCTGATTTAAAGGGTTTAAAGCAGCGGTCCCCAAACTTTTTCCTGTGAGGGCCGCATAAGCTTTCGCTTCTGTGATGGGGGGGCCGGGGTCAGTCTGGAACAGAAAAAGGGTGACCGCAAGAGTACGGAAATGTAAAAATGGATTGTTTTCCAGAAACCCACACAAAATGAAGCCGCCTCTTGACAGATGAGACTGACAGACGTTTCTTTGCGCTGAAAGAAACAAAAACAAAAACATCGTTTGTCCACTTTGGTTTAAATACCCCGCATTCTATTTTTCTCTTACCGAATCTTTTCGCCATGATCCCGTTCTCTGAGAGAGGGGCCGGTTTCGGATTTTTTTTTTTCTGGCGTTGCCAGATAACGGCACAGAAAGATGCACCAAATGTCACCTTATTGTATCTGTGTTCATGAAATAGTTACTAATTAATAGTTAATCATGAAAACGGTTCAGAACTAAGGAACATTTTATTGCAAAAGCCCAACTTTATGATCAAAGACAAATCCACATCGATGAAAAATAAATCAAAATACTCTGTGGTATTTTCAGGGGGCCGGACCAAATGCGGAGGCGGGCCGGATCCGGCCCGCGGGCCGTAGTTTGGGGACCACTGGTTTAAAGCATTAAAAAAACTGCACTAAAAAAAAATCCGTGAAACAGCGAAGCCGCGGAAAGTGAACCGCGTTAGAGCGAGCGATCACTGTATTCGTTCCAAAAAAGAGAAAATGAAATAGCAAATCACGACTGTTTTTCAGATTTTCGATTTTGTGTATAGATGGAATTTAAAAAAAAAAAAAAATCTGACATTACCCAAAATGCAACATGCCTTAGTTTGTGAAAAGTTGTGAAAACAAGGACCATATTGTGTTTTAAGGACTTTTGTTACTGCCATATACACTTCTTGGAAAATCATGCCTAAAAGTTGTCATGTGGTTGCATTGCGACGACCATAACATGATGGGTACTAAATTATCATTCCACATTTTTCCCATGGACAGGGAATGTCATAAAAGAGAGTGGAACATGACGGTTTGCAATGGAGGCCAACCGACAGCATTGGGCTTTTTAGTGAGCACTTCCTCAGTGGTGAGAATCGTTTTTGAGTGTGATAAAATAGATTTTATTGTATTCTCCATATTTTAAGATCTAAACAGCTGTGGGGGGAAAAAATAGGATATTATAACAACCATGTGTTGCGAGTCTTAAAAAAAGTATTTCTATTGTATGAGAACTAATTTCACATTTGAGTCTTTTTAGTCATACGTATTGTTTTTTTTTTTGTTTTTTTTTTGGGTGCAGTTCAAGTGTGTCCATTCATCTATTATCTGATCCGCTTATCCTCACGAGGTTCCAAGTTGTCTTAGCCGACGTGTACCCTGAACCGGTTGCCAGCCAATCGCAGGGCAGGCGCAGACAAACAACCATTCACATTCACAGTCATACCTCGAGAAAATTTAAAGTGTCCAATCAACCTTGCATGCATGTTTTTGGTATGTGGGAGGGAACCGGAATACCCGGAGAAAACCCACGCAAGCACAGGGAGAACATATAAGAAGGCCGGAGCCCAGAATCGAAACCTGGACTTCTGTACTGTGAGGCAGATGTGTTAAACACTATTCCACCATATTAGTCAGATAACGCTATTCTTTGTTTTTGTCAGTTCAATTTTTGGAGGTAGCGAATCACATCATGGAAGGCGATGCAGTCTCTGTTTGCGTGTATCATAAATACTCTGAACCTTTTCCACGCAAAGCTAAGCACCACATGGTGCTGCAGCAGACTGAGGTTGTAAATGTGTTTATGTGTGTCGAGAAAAATCCGGCCTGGGTCTTGTCTAATTCCTGGCCCGTGTCATTAAGTTGATACCCCAAATCAATTGTTTCCTGCAAACAGCCAGGGTCTGCGGCTGCAAGCAGCGAGAGGCCCATTTGAGTGCGCCGGCGAGCAGGAAGCAGCGCCTACCTGCCACTCATTAAAGCCACCAGGAGTCAATAGTGAGCAGGGGGAAGGATTAGACCCCCTCGTTATACCTGCCGCGCAATTAACACTACTTATTCTCCCTAACAAACGATCGAGTGACTGCGCTAATCATACAAATCCTTTACTTTCTTTGTCGTTATTGTGTTTTTTTGTTTTTTTTTTTTTTTTAATCTGCGAATGTTTCTTGGCAGGAAGGAGTGAGTGTGAAGGTGTGTGTATGTGTGGGGGGGAGCACTTTAAGGAATCAAGGGTGGGCTTCCTCCCAAGAACCGGGAGCTCCGGCAAGTTGTCGCACACTTGAAGTGAAAAGGGACTTGACCTTTGCCTTTATGTGTCCCATTCGCCCAAACTCAAGGCCCCGACCCCATAGAAGACAACGTCCACCCCCTCCCCTCAATGACAATTGTGTCTTTTGTGAGGGGACGCGCGCCGCTGTCACGCGTCCATTTCAACCTCTCTGAAGTGTTGGTGAACCTTTTCTCTTGTGAATCTGTCTGGACTCCAATTCTGTGGTGTCATCTGTCGAAGATGTCATCTCCGCCTTTCTGTGACTCTTCCAGTGGCTCTGTTACAACCGGCCGATGCCACTTTGGCCTGTCTGACAGCATCCTGCTCGAAGCCTCACAATGGTGGGAGAGAAATGATCACCGAGCTTACCGTCTCATCTGCAAGTTACAACAAAGATATAGAGACTGGAAGTGTCACAGAAAGGCAGAGAGGATGATAAGTTTTCTTTTCATCTACTTGATGGAGAAACAGCAAGTTGTGGCAGTCTTACGAGAAAGTCAAATTCAGTTCAACCATCAAGGTTAGAGCGCATTTTAGATTTATCCTAAAAGTCCACCCATAAACCTTGTTGTGAGTAGTTTTAAAAAAGTGGCTTTTTTGGGGCACCTGTAAGTAGGGTAGCCGTCTGACCCTGAAAAAAAGGATTTTCCCACTATCTTCAACCAGTTTTACTGTTTTCGAAACCTAAAAAGTGGTTTTCATAGGTTGACCTGCCAACTTCTTGTTTTTCTGTAATCTGCACCACTTGATCAACAATTGTAAATATTTTAAAGTACGCCAGAGTGAAATAGTTTAGAAGGTGATGTAGACCTGAAAAGGAAATTCTTCCAGAAGCTTAATGGCTTGTCAAGAATAGTGTACATACTGCACAACATAGAGGCGGGGTTCACTTCTGTTCTGGGGCTGCTTTGCTTCATCAGCATTGGGCGACGAAATTGAAAAATGCCCTGTGAAGAAGGCACCCACTGATTTGAAGTTAACTTTTGTCTTGCAAATGTTGTGCTTTTGAAGGGAAGGATAGTTGAATCTAAACCTCCCCGCCTTCTTTGCTCCCACCCTTCCCTGTGCCCCTGCTTCTCGTCATAACGCTGTTGCTTTCGCTTGGCGGATCAAAGCCGGCAAAAACTAGTGTCGCTGGGATGAACACTGTTGGCCGTGACAGGGCCACAAAGCGGCGGGAGGTAGCGCGCGATGTCAGACACGTCTTGCGGCAGAAAGGCTGAGAAAGGGACGAAAAGTGGCTGTTTAATACCTCCACTTGAGGAGCGCCAGGTTACCGTGGCTCGGCTACACGTGACAAAAGGTCAAATTGATGCAGGAAGTTTGGACACCAAAACTTAACTGCACTCAGTATAAAGAGAAAATAAAGAAAGAATCAAATAAACTCAAGAACACACCCCCACCCAAAAAAAAAAAAAAAAACTACCGTGAGGTTAAAAATAAATCAATAAAAATAGTCCAAAATTAGAAAAAAAATACACAAATCTTTCGGTTCTGTTC